TAGATTGACCAGGATGCCAAAATGTGTGCAAGCCCACTTACTGGGTATAGAAAGGCAAGTTCTTCAAACTTTACCTGCCTCAAATTTTCTCTCAGCTATTCAGGTGGGGGAGATTAAGGCTGCCTTTTCCTTATAGAAATAAAAATTAGTTTTAAGGACAGAGAAAGAGAAAAAAAAGAGATCTTCAAAAATAAATTCTAGATTCAATCCTCAGGGTAGAGAAGTATGGCTCATTTATGAGCCTCTTCCCTCTTCCTGGGTGCCTAGCATTGGAGTCTGCCTGACACACAGTAGCTGTAGAACTGAACTTTAGATTTCCCAACCCACAAAGATGAAGACCAAATCATGAACACTGGCTCCAGCAAGTCTTTATATAGCCTTATCCCCACCCTCTCCTATCCTCTTCCCCATCTATTTCCATATCCAATTGTTTGCCCTGGAATTAATCTGCCCAAGATGCCTGTTCCCACCTTCTGGAACTGCCAGATAATTTCCTGTGTGTTTTTGTACCCATTCAAATGTCACCTCTCTGGAGCTCCCTCTCACTATCTCCTGGGCAGAGTTATGTTCCTTAGCATTTTATCTACTATCTTTTTCTTTCATATTTTATAATTTTTACATCAGTCTCCTCACTGGCTGAGAATTTCTTGACAGCTAGTGAATTGTTCATCATTTTATCCCCCAAAATCTAGCATGTGCCTGGGATTGAGGAAATAACACAGTAATTTTTGAAAATTAAATTCTTAATATGTTAATGTGAACCCTACCTTAAGCATAGTCTGTCACCATAGAATACAAACAGGGATAGTAATTGATTAAGTGAGTAAAAAATACTTCCCTTTTCTACCTTTTGACCAAGAATAAAAATAAAAATGATAAAATACATTTTAGATATTTTGTATGTATTTATGGTGTTAGAAACTTCATCCTCTTTTTGTAGTGATTCTCCAAGTGAAGCATCAGCATCACCTGGGAATTTGCTAGGAATGTAAATTTTTGGGCCCCACCTCAGGCTTATGAAATCAGAAATTCTGGGCATGGAGTCAAGCAATCCGTGTGTTAACAAGTCCCCACGGTGATTCTGATGCATGCTAAAATCTGAGAACCACTGTTCTAGAACAAACAAAAATGCTTAAGAAACTTCCACACTTGACAAAGAACTCTTTTTACTTAATCAGAAATAAATCTTGTTTTGTTTTCATACATAAGATAATACAGTTATTTAGTATTTCTTGTACCTGGGTCCTTTGTATTAAAAGTTCTAACTAAGAAATTACTAAACTCTTGAGTTTTCATTTCAAAAATAGTCTGAAGTTTTTTAATGCTTAAGACAAAATTTCTCTTATGCAGTGATAGTTTACAATTTCATAGAGCTAAGATTTTAGTTCCTTAAGTAAGAGCTCCTCGAATTCTGGTCCGAAGACATGGCGTTAAGAATGTGGACTCTGGAGTTA